TTCTTGGTAGGACGATGGCGCAGGGCAGCAGGTAGTTAACTTTTATACGAGGGTCGCAGGATAATTTATAATGACTTTCAATAACGAAAATTAAAATCAATATCAAATCAGAACGAGGAAGATATTGCCAAAGTCAATGATTTTATTGTAGTAATTAATTATTTTACAGCATAACCATAACGATAAACTACTAGCTGAAAAGTAACCAATCTGTTACCGTTTTCTTTGTAATATTTCATGTTATAATAATATTATAATATTTATACACTAAACAGAGTGAAACTTTTTATTACTTCAGTTTTTGCAGCTACGTGCAGGTAATTTTAAATGGAAACTAATGGAAAATAGGAACGTTAAATATTTATGTAATGCTTATGCAATTCCAAGAAACTGTAGAACTTATTGTTAGATACTTCAGCTACGAATACATTAAAATGTAGTCTAATAAGAATTCAAATTCAATAGAAACCGTTTGCTTAGTCTAACGTCCGTATGATTGCCTTAAATGTCAATATATTCTGCTATGAAAACAGATGTATATGTATGTATATATATATCTATGTATACATCGCACAACAAATACAAATAGTAATACAAAATGATAGGAGATCTGTAGTTGTACTTAATTTTAGATGCACAAATTTTATAAAGTACACCAGTGTTCGTTAACAGTGATTAGTCGAGAAAGATCAGAAAGACTGGTTGGACACGCACCTCCACTCTTTCCTATTCTGAGCTAATTTTCGCATTTCTCCAAAAACTAGAACATCCCACATCCTTAACTATTTGCGAACAGTAATCTAATTTACGTCTACCTCTACCCCTCCTAACTCCCGTTTCTACCTCTAATATGACTAGACCTTCATGCCTAGAAGGTGTCCTACCAACCTATCTCGCCTATTTCTTATTGGCTTCCATAGAGTCCTCTGTTCTCCTATTCTTTCTAATACCTCTTTATTTCTAACCTTCTCTATCCACGGTATCCTCATCATTCCCCTGTAACACCACATTTCGAACGCTTCTAACCTTTTCTTTTCCGCCGCGCCCACTGTCCACGTTTCGCACCCGTACAGCGCCACGCTCCAAACATACTCCTTTACCAACCTTTTTCAAATTTCTAAATTAACCGTTCAAGATGGCTGAAGGAATTTGTAAAAAATTTCCTATACCGCGTCATATTTTTCAAAAAATTATGCCACCCTTTTTCCAACTTCAAGTAACAAAATATCCCTATGCTCGGCTCTCAACCCATCATTAGTACTGTACATGTGACAGTTGTAGATCAGTAGTTTATTGAAATTACCAAATGTAGATCATCACTTTAAGTATTTTGTTGGCCAATAAGGCGTAAGTAAATAATTTTAAGAAATTTCTATTAGTTAATTCCGAAGCGCAATTTTACAAATAAATGAAATACAAAAAGCTCACTCACCCCTGTACAATACCACATACAGCTTCGTCAATTTCACTTGTGGATATTTCCAATTGACTGTTGTTTAAGTGATTACGTTGAATATGATCGAGTCTGAAATAAAAAATGACATTAGGTAGGTATACAGTGCTGTTTTAATTTATGGTAAAATTAAGAAATATTTGTAAATGACTTCGTTATGTATCTAAGCACAAAAGTTTGTTTTCGTTAAAGGGAGTTTACAATTCATCATTTAAACATTTTCCTTTTTTTTTAAGTAATCACCTAAAGTCACTTCAATTACGAATATAAAGGTATCGATTTAACCATTTATTTGCCGACGTCTAATTGAATTTCTAGGCCTTAATTAAAAGAAACTAACATAGGTAATGAGCAAATTAATATTTTCACAATGTAAATTGTATGACAATGCGTCATGTTGTTTAAGACCAGATCTACCAGGTCGAATGGTTTGACAGTTGTGTTTTCACTTTCTTCCTTTCTATTTTTCATTGTCTTTTCAAAAGTCAGGTGAATATATATGTAATGGGCGGGTAGACGTCGGAGTCGGTATGGTACTTGGCAGTAGCATTCGAGGTACAGCGAAAATCTATACCCAAATCATCAAGTTTAATGTAAACCCGTAAACAGCCGGGAAAATTCAGGAACTTGTGTGGTAGAGGTCCACCGTCAAAGGGAGCTTGCCGACATCGCGTCAAGGGGCAGGGGAAGACGACGATCTTATGTACTCGAGATTGTTTTCTAGTACCGGAGTGCAAATAATCCAACTGGGAGAGATTCGTTCCTAGAAAATCTGACTCCAGTGAGGGAGACTGGTTGAAAGAGAGGCCCGGGGACCCAGGTGGGAAATCTTCCTGGAGGAAAGGTATCGGCAACTCGACGAGTGAGCGGCCTACGAAGCCTGCCAAGTCTGGTAGGGATTAGATGAGTCCCGTCACACCAAAAGGTCTAGGGATGCTGGTCACCTCTTAGGAGAATTGGTAGCGGAGGCGTAGGCCACAGTGTGTTAATTGAGCATATCTCAATCCCTCTCCCATAGGGTTGTGGTGGGTAAATCGCAGGTAGGAACCACCACATAATTAAAATAAACCGGGGGTTACCCTGCATGTTTAAGGATGTTTGGGAGGTACAATCGGATACAAGAGTACATAAAATTAGAAATTCGTGATTAATTAGGTTTTGCAGCATATCATGAGGTAAATAAATACTATCTATACTAAAAGAAAGTATACGGTTTGAGAGAAAATTTGGAATTTGACCAAAAACTTTGAATAAAATAAGAAATAACGAATAATATGGAAAATTTTTAACTGACTTTTGGCAGTGAATATGCCTTGATTTCAACTTCGAAACAAAAAAATATTTAGTTTCAATCTCTATTAATAATGAGCGTAAAACTTTTTAATATGTTTAAATAATAATTAAAACTTTAAAATTGCATTTATTTCAGACAATTATAAATATTATCATTATATTATCAAGTAAAAACGAGATTTTCAGCTAATTTTTCATTTTTTCCTCGATAACCATTTAGTGAATTTGAATAACCTTACGCTAAAGTGATTCTCCAGAGTTCAAGTTACTTATTATAAAAGTTTGAAATTTCTGGTAGCTTTTTTTCTGTTAATAAAAATAAATTTAATCTGTTCGGTCAACGAATCTCCATAAAATGACGTGTAAAATTACAATTTTTTAAAATTTCAATAACTTCTTAACGGTGTAGTAAATCGATTTGTAATTTTTACAGGAGCTTTAGAATTGAATGAGGAACGTTCTTCCAAATTTTTATTTGTCTCGTAGCATTCTGACATAGCTCCCAAACATCATTAAGCGTCAACTGTAGATATTGATTGAACAGCGCAGGGTTCCTCTTCCCCAACTACCGTTTACGTGTTTCCTCCGCATGGGGCTTCACATTTCGAGTGGTAAGTTGTTCCACATCAAAAACTGTTTTCATATTTTCATTCTAAAAGTTAGGTTGTAGATGCGCTTGATCAAAACACAGAGAATTTTTATGCGAGTTACGCCCGTACTTACAGGTTTTGTAACATTTTACTAAAGCGGAGTCAATTTATCTCCGAGTTGGAATTTCGCGCCATGTAGCAAATTGTAGGTACTTACTGCTACATTAATATAATATTTCTTTATATTCTGGTCCATATGGCGTCATTCGCGAGACGACACGAATTTAGCAAAGGCTGAGCAGTTAAATCGCTTATGCAGCAAAGTGATAAATTCAGATCAGAAATTTATAATACGTTAAAAGGATTACTGGCAAGGCAGAATGGGGAAATCTCGGGTAGCAGAAATATTATCTTCATCTATCATTCCGTCAACGCCACCGCTTTCATTTTGTAAGGGTCATTCCATCCCATATTTTTGCCTTTTAGAAGCTCATCGATCATAATTTCTTACGTATTAAATCAAAACTCCTCATCTCTCAACGAAACAATATCGCTATATCATTGCGAAAAAAAAATACTTAACGTAAAAAATTTGTAATGACGACGACGACGAATAATAAACTTTTCAAACTTTCAATGGATCCTCGAAAATTTGTCTTAAAACTTTGTTAGGATTGACAAATGTTAAAAAGCGACTGCTATATTAGACACTCATTGTGATTAAAATAAGAAATAATATTGTTAATTGTTATCCTGTTTTGGCACTTGAATGTTCCAAACCAAAATCATTTACATCAATATTAAAATGTAAGTATACAAGGAAAATAATATTTTGGACTGATGCTGCCCTGATTCGGGTCTAAAAGGCAGTCCAGACCCAAATTTATTTCATAATGACAGCGAAACAGCAACTACTTCTCCATATAGAATCTGAACGAACAAAAAATTATTTTACTGCATCAATTGAAAAAGAAAGAAAAAGTACTTAAATACATATTTACGAAAATGAGAGAGTCATGGGGATTTTAAGTCATCGAAAGAAGTTCCAAACAGAGTATTTAAAGGGTCATTTCGATTAAATAGAAGACAGTTTAATGAATTTCATCAATTAATTAAATAGGATATTACCGGTGGGGAGTCAATGCGTAACAACCTTTTGGGAATAAGGAAACCTAGCTGTATGTCCATTGTAAAAATTATAAGCTATATTACTTATTATAAAAACCAGCCTTAAATTAAAAATTCTGAAAAAGTGGGAAGATAGGAGACGACATGACTTAGAAAACCTAAAAAGTAACGAAATGCGTGATAGGCTAGGTACAAGGATAGACGAAATGCTAAATGAGGCGGGAGAAACGAATGAAAGGGACAAAGAGACAAAATGGAACAGCCTAAAGTAAGCAGCTACAGATATACTAAGATTTAAACAAAACAAAAGTAGGAAACTCGGAATAACAAACGAGATTGTAGGATTAATAGAAGAAAGGCGAAAATAGAAAAACAGGACAGACGAAAGAGGGTAAAACAGATATAAGGCTATAAAGTGGGAAATAATTAGGAAGTGGAGGGTAGCTAAGGAACAGTGGATTGATATGAGGTGTAAAGAAGTAGAAGAATAGTTTGAATTAGGTAAAACTGATGAGGCTGATAATATTATTAAAAGGAATTTTAGAGATGTAGGATACAGTAGTAATAATATAAGAAACGAGGCAGGGGTTATTTTGATAGAAAATGAGGAAAAGATAGATAGATAGGTGGAAAGAATATTTAGAGAACCTATACGCAAATCATAAGTTAGGAGATATATTAGGGAGATAGGTGAGCTAGGTTATCCCATAATGAGAGAAGGGTTAGATGTAGCATTAAAAAACTTAAAGAATAATAAAGCGCCAGGTATAGATAGGATGCAGGCGGAAATTCTAAAATATGCAGAACAAGAGGTTAGAGATCGTATGTTTAAGTTAGTTAGTAACATTTATGAGATGGGGAAAGTCCCAGAGACATTTATAACAATTAGCTTAACTTCCCATGCGTCAAAAAACTTAACTAGAATTTTACTGAGGAGGATGGAAAAAAGGGCGGAAGATCAATTTGGGTTCAGAAGAAATAGAGGAACGCGGGAGGCCATTCTAGCTTTACGGGTAACAATAGAGAAAACGATAGACAAAGGAAAGAGTGCGTACATAGGATTTGTAGATTCAGAAAAACCTCATAGAACCGTCAACCCCCGGGCTATGCCTGTGCTATGCGTGGACTGGGTTCAAATTGCTGTGGGCCTAAGGCATAGCCCACACATGGACGACTGTGTGAAACACATATTATAGGGAGGATAGCAATTTTGAGTCCATGCCACGTCGGGCACAACTGATTTTCAGGTGGACAATTCTGAGTTGCAAATGTGGGCTATGCCTGTGCTGTGCCCAAAGGCCATATTTGGTTGGAGTTACTTCCTAACGTTTCGCTAGCAGGAGTGACAGCTTCTTCAGAGGTCCTTCCATCTCTGATGCTGGATGTGCACATCCAACAACCAACGATGACCTTTAGATCCGAATCAGAACAGCACCAGTTTAAATTAATGTTTTATTTACTACACCTGACTGTTTGATATTAAAGTACCTACCTACGGGCTCGAACACGGTAGTTAGTTAAATGATAATTAATAGTTGTAAAGTGTAGAATAGTTTGAGCGAGAGCAACATTGGCTATTTATCTAATTAATTACGTATACCGGATTTCAAAATTGTTAAAATCGGTCAGTGTAAATTTCTTTTGTAGTCGAAAACAATGCACTTTACGTTAATTAACAAATAGTTCCAATACGTATGTATGCACGTATACTATGTACGCTTGTAGGAATTGATATGGAAAAACAAAATTAATTATAACACATTAGGTGTTATTCAGCTTTAGGTACTATGATGTTTAATCTCGGTTGTGGAAATTATACAGAAACTTTTAATCAATTATTATTTAGAATTTTCAGAACTAATTTCTCAGATTATAATGTGTTTTATTTCTTATTTTTAAATAATAAATTGCGGTCAATTATATTTATAGGACTTATCGACTACAAAATTTCACGTTCCTTTTGTATATATTTAAGTGTGTACGTACATAAGTATTTTGTTTATGTAAAAGTTAATTCTGGTTTTTCAGTGTTTTCCGTGGAGTATGTAGGCAAATCATCAT